TATTGGTTCAGTTAGTTCGTTCCCCTTGTATGATTTTAGCAATAATCTGATAAGAGGGGTCATTAGCACCTCTATTAGTATTCAAATTATAGAACTCGGTTTCGCTAAACAGCCTTCATAAAGGCACAATGGTATCACATGAATGATGTATACAAGGACCATTAAGATTTCATACATTTTAAGAAAATGGTACTTGACATCCTAGGGAAATTTTCCTTCCACCAAATAAAAGAGATAGAATGGGGAATGACCCAGTTTCTCGTGTAGAAGGCCTTCTTCACAATGGATTAGGACCCAAAATCTTTCAGGTAAACTAATCATTTCACCATTAAAAATTCAGAGTTAGAGCAGAGAAACAATTTTGGATGTTGCAAAACCCTAACACATTCATTTAGTTACAATATCCAGATATACTAAACCAAAGAATATCTTAAGCACATACATGTATATTCTATCTTTATTTTCTATTTTCATTATTGCCAAACCATAAACCCCACGCCACCCTTAACAAGACATCGAGGGATAATGTTTCCATGTGGTGTCTCATGTGACAATGCATTGACAATTTCCCCAGGAAAAGTTAATATATAATGTACAACCTCTAGTTGCAAAGGGAATTAAAATTCCAATGAACTGATGCAAATAAGCTCGCACCCACTATATTGTAGAAGTGTCTACAATTCATATATATATATATGATGAGTGATTTACACTCATTATATTATGCCATTAATTTCATGATTTTGTTATCTTGGAGAGTATTTTAGAAGTGCTAACAAGTGATTTTGGTGTTGTTTTGTAGATTGACGGAAGTGGAGAAAATAAGAGCTAAAAGAGGTCAAAGGAAAGAAATAGGCAAAGCTAGCGAATTTGGATGAAATGACCAAAATGTAAGAGATCCAAAGTTCGAGGATTATAATGCAATTAATCAAAAGTCGTGTCGAAACTTGAAATGAAGATCCGAGAGTTCTAAAAGCCAGTTGGATGAAGGAAGGTATCAAAGGGATCAAATTTAGTCAAGATATGATCATAAATCATTTTCCAACCAAAAAGTTTTGCACCGGGTTTTCAGCCTCATATTGAGACTCATTTTTTGACATAGCAAACGATCGAATTGTAGAATAATATCTGAAGCAAAGTTGTAGCCCTTTGAGTTACTTTTCCAAGGCATCTTGAATTGCCTCAATCGAATATTAGAAGAAAGAATTATGATAAAAATACTGAAAGCTGTGCAGTGCAACCGAAGTAGTCCTCAGCGCCTAGAAGCCATGATGTTGAAATTTTGACAGAAAGTCAGCGCCCAGGCGCCCAAATCGCAGCGCCCAGGCGCCACCATGCGGGAGTAACTTTTTTGGGTTTTTACCATTCTTTCTCGGCCCAACTCACCTCCAAATCTTTCCCTAAACTCCAAGACATTATAAATACACAATTGAAGACCTAAATTAGGGAGAGAGCCGCACGCTAAAAATCCAATTGGTTGAATAGGCTCAATGAGAACTCAAGAGGGGTAAATTGAATATAATAGGAGAATTCGACCGAGCACTACATTAGAATTGAATTTTAATTTGAGATGTAAAGATGATCAATTGGTGAAGTCATTTTACCCTAACATTCATTCATTATTTGATTCTCCAATCAATCGTATGAACATTCATTTATTTTCTAGAATTTAGATTAAAACCCAAATTTTACAACCTTTAATTTGTTTTAGTCAAATAGTAGTTAAAGAAAAAATGAATTAAGTGCTAGAAAACAGTCATTGTGGGATCGACAATCCGGACTCTTAGGTCCACTATTACTTGTTATGGATCGTACACCTGCGAAACAAAATTTTACAACAATATATATAAATGGTAGTACCAGTAAAGATACATGAAAAATTCACTAGAAGTTAATTCATAACCATAAGTTAAAGTTGCATGAAATAGGTTTCCTACAAGGTGACTTCACAGGGTCTCCCCAAAGGAAAACAAGAGAGGTCGAAACCGTTTATGTTGATGATTGATGGCTGCATTAGATGGCACAATCATTTTTTCTGGCAGAAATGTAAATCAAGCTAATGGGACAGTGACGTGTCAGGAGCAATGTAGTGTTTCTTTAAGCCCCTATTTGGTATAGATTTTTTAAAACTCATTTTCAACCACAAACTCTCCCAATAAAATAATTTTACACATGGACTCAACTTTTCCCCAACTTTTTAACTCCACATTCTCCAACAAACTCTCTTCTCAAAAATCTACATCAAGGAGGCTCTAAATTTGGGAGTATGACTTTGTATGTTGCAAGTATAAGTAAACCAGAATAAAAATTTCGATATGATTCATAAGAATGCCATGATCAGCATTTATTTCGTACATCATGTTATGCATCATGATTACTCAGGAAACGTATGTACTAATATGATATGTAAAGACAAAATTTCCAAATGTGAAAACGGGAAGAAAAAGTGTAAATGGTTTTATAAGCAGCCAAAACAACATAATAGGAATTCAAAACAAGTTGAGTGGGTATAAGTCAACATAATGGTGTTATGAAGTGCCACAATATATAAGGCAATCATTATAGAAAAATACATAGCAGCCAAGACAACATAATAGGAATTCAAACTAGCAATGTTAAGAAACAACAATGACTCCCAGGGATAGTAGGCCTTCAATAGCAAAGGAGAAAGAAAGTAAAGGTGATGAGGATATCTACTTTTTATTTATTTTTAGTTGGACTTTATTCATGTTTTAGATTTTATTTATGCAATTGGGCTTGTGTTGGCCCAAGTCCATTCTACTTAGGGTTTTAGTCTTTACTATTTAAACCTAATTGCGATGTAATTTCATTAGTTTTGATGATGAATGAATAATATTTTTTGTTGCCTATGGCTTTTCCTTCCTCTTCCTCTCCCTCCCCCATGAATTTCTGCTTCTTTTCCGATTTCTCCCCCCATTCTCTCCGGTTCTCCCCCATTTCTTGCTTCTTCTTTCTATTTTTTTAATTCGTCCTGCATCAAAAAGATAGTCACCTGCCCCTTGAAGTTGATTCTTCCAAATCCTCATGTGTTGAAGGGAAGAACTCTATTTAGCGATAGCGCAGGGTCATCCTGCATCCTTAGCAATTGCAGCTCTCGAATCCTCGGGACTTGCAAACTTGCTCTCATCGAAAGATCTCGCTCTCGGGGCACCACGATGGGCGAACCACCTTGAGCATCAAAAACTTCATTTGCTATTGCCTTGTAGTACTCATCCTTTCTGCTTAGGAAAACTTCAACATATATCCTACCAATATTTAGCCTATTTCTCTGTAAAGCAAAATCGATTTGAAGAGGATAACCCAAAACGCAATAAGCTGCCCCAGGGAATTTGCCACCCTTATGGACAAACAAGACGTCAACAATGTCTAAACCATGGAAGAAATCAGCAATTTCAGCTTCTGTACAATCGAACGGAAGACCTCGTAGTCAGACAACAGGGAAAGGGTGGAATATTTTACACGTAACTCAGACCAGGAGGAGTCCCATAATATGAAGAGCCCTGATCCATCAATCGCTGCCGTTTCAAACACATCTCTCGTGCATCTCCACTGTCTATGTATTGACTTCATTGCCATACAAACACAAAGAAACTCACTGTTTCAGTACTACATTCACAATCCCCCGAAAAAATGCGTCATATGATTTATTGAACTAACGACACAATTCCTTTTCCATGAATTAGCATCGTTGTTATTATTCTTTTCAAACCCAAAAAAGAAAAAGGAAGAGACAATATTAAAAGCCCCACGAAATCTGGTCATTAAGGAACATAGCAAACTCCAAGCTATAATCATTTGACAAGAGGCTAATATACAGAATACCAAAATACCAGGGATCTAATAATCTACTCCTGAAGTAATAGCAACTTCTATTTTGGAGCTATAAAGAAATAATAGAAATGAAGATATATTTAAGTTAAAATATAAGATTTGCAAACAAAAGAAGAAATTAAGCAGGACTAAAATTCATACCGAACTTGCTGTATGAAACCAACTTTCCAATTCATTCTAAACACAGTGAAAATCAGATCCATACTTTCACATTTTATTCCGCAAGAACTGGAAGTCTGGAAATGCAATTTAAAAAAAAAAAAAAATGAAAAAAAAACTGGACAATTTTTATCCCAACTTATTAGGATTTCCTAGAGGCGGTAAATCAAAGCTAGCTAGCTAATTTTGAGCAAAGCCAGTTATTTATAAATATAAAGATAACCAGGTAACTAATAACACATTAACTAAAGAATCTGAAAATAAAAATAATGCTTATTTGCTGGTATGAAATTGGGTACCTGGAATTGCATTCATGAAAAAATAATAAAAATTAACCGGAATCTCAATTAGTGAAAAATAAAAAAAATTAAACCTATAATCAGACACCGAAAATATAAACATAAGAAAAGAAGAAAAACATGCACAAAATAAAACTAGGGCACTAAAAAAAAGATGCACGTTTTTGTTGTGAACCAAGAACAATTGTCAAGTGAAAAAACAAAATACAATCTTGACTCAATATGAAGATACTGAACAATGATGATGAAAAAAAATAAATAAGCAGTACAGAAATTCTTGCCCTCTGTAGAACATTGTGTAGGTTTTTAAATGGGCTCTGAGGATTCTTTGCTAAATCTTCCACCACGCGAAAGCGAGGCGATGATGTTATTGTTAGGTTTTTGCTCAGAATTGGGCGCGTACGCTTGCATTGCATGTGACGGCTGAAGAGAGAACTATGAAGTCGGTCCCTCGGGACATGGAGAAAATTGTGCAATAAATTCATATTTCTACTTTTTATTTTTAATATAGTTGCTTCATTGGTTTTCAAATAAAGAGATAATTCCCCTTCAAAAAATAGAGAAATAGTTCAGTTTTTCTGTTAGATTCTTGTATGTACAATATTAAATGATTATTGTCCAAAGTGAAAAAAATTAGGAGATACTTTTAAAATAAGTAATATTTTACTTATAAGTAAAAAAAAGGGACAATATATCCAAACATTTACTAAGACGTTTAGACTCCGCGAACATGTTGCAAGCCATTGCACATCTTCTCTATCAAACTTAGCACTGCTACACAACTTTCATATATATGCAAGCCTGTCTGTGATGCGGTGATAATAAGTGACAATAAATCTGCGTATAAAACGACCCAAAACCCGAGCTCTACGGCCATTGGAGCAGGCCAAGGAAAAGAATAGGTACATTTGAAAGTTAAAAGTCTGCATCGAAGCTCATCACTAATACAAAAAAATTGAATCCAAAATTATGGGGAGCATCGTCTGAAAGGTTTATGTAAAGACCAATGATGGAACGAAGGAAAAAATTGGGAATCAATATATCACACCTGCAAAAGAAAGGAATTGGAGCGTAAGGTCACTTATCTGGTGAAAGTTGAAAGCAACTCTAAATGACATTTCAGAAATGTGCCGAATAATATAATTGCTCCCATAAATCACATCCATGTTTGTGCAAAAGTAAAATCATCTCTAAACATTGATAAAGACATACCATGTGGTCATAGGCCCTGATGGAAGCATATGCATCTTACTTAATATGGTAAAGCCCAGGCACCACCTTGCATTCGAATCTCAGTTGTTAGATGTTGAATTTAGCATGTGATAGTAGAATATCATGTTTAAGCATCACTAAACACCATTGATTGTGCAAGAACCACCCTTGCTCGAAGCTGCAAGATGAAATAAAGAAAAAAGCTTTAGCTACCAAACCAATATAACCTTTTTTAGAATACCACTTTCCTAGGGTTGAAATGCAAATTGACTTGTTTAAATTTTTTTGGCAAAATGCCTCTTTCTTGATGAAGTGCAAAATGTTAAGCATGCCAAATGTCTTCCTTGTGAAGTTCACACTTAGATTTTGCATTTTTTTTTTCGTAGTACAAAGAAGAAAATAAGTAATCATTGGCAACCGTCAAAAGAATCATCTGCAAACCAAATTGAGAAGAAGATGGCTATTTATGAAACCACAACGTTGGAAGTCGAACAAATTTTGGGAGTGCAAGAGTATAGTTAGAATGGTAAAAACTCACAGATCTGAGCATAGGTTGTTGAACTTGAAACAGTAACTATTTTGTTGTTGTCTGAGTTGACAAGTTTAAGCACATCTCCCTCTTATCATTTTTTGTCTATGAAAGCACAGAAAAACACACAAGTCAGACTCAAAAAATCAAATTTTTTTTCCTTCCATCCCTCCAAAATGATTCCCAACACTGGTCCTATGCACACCTATGCTTATTCAACGTTTTTTTCCTTTTGATATTCAATTTCCTTTGAAGACTGACAATGAAAATGGGTTAAAGAGCAATTATTTTTCCATCAAAGTTGTAGAAGAATGTGAACAAAGACTGCGAATGGAAAATTTTCTATCTTTAAACCAGGACAACTTTGGGTTATTAATTCTTTTCAAGAAAGGATGACTCAAATAAAGCTTTAAAAGGAGAAATTTTTCAGTTTCTCACTACTTTTGTCCTTTAGGTAATTTCCTCTACCAAAAATCATGAATTCAATACCATGCATCCAAGAAATTTGTTTCTGACCTTTACATCCAAACAAGGATCATTGACCATAGTCTTTAGCTGAGAGATTATGCCAGCATTCAGTAGTTTAATAACCCGACGACATGCACCTGGACTGTTTGGAAATGTAAGATTTACAAGAGCCCAAACAGCAGCAATCCGTAATCGGCTGTCGGTACTCTGCAAAAACTTGATAAAAGATGTTTGTGTGTTATTCCAGCACTGTGGGAAAAGTTGGTTCATGGCCGCTTCCTTCTGGATCTCATTCCCAGAAGCAATGTTGCTTAGGACATACATACCCTAGAAAAGAAAATTTTAATCTATTAAATTTTTTTTATAGAGCTTGCACGTAATACGTGAAATGTTTAAATTATCTGTATCTACCAAATCAACACATGCAAACCCATATAATGATTACCTAAATAAAGACGCGCAGTGACAGAAGTTTCTTGTACGTCCTTTCTAGACCATTTTGAGTATCTTTGCATGTAATGAAGAAACTGATAGCAATATTAACTATTTTCTACTCAACATGAAAAAATTTTCTTGTCCCTTTTATTTTATTTTATTTTTTGTGGGGGTCCTAGGGTAGGAGTTTTCCACAAAGAAAAGGTGGAACTAGAAGTGGGAATTCCAATTACAAATGAAGATTATCAATGTAATTTCATTTTTCTTCATTCTTTGTCACTTTGTTCCTTTCCTTAAACAAATACATGGTCTGTCTACTTTACTTTCTTCCCTTAAAAGTTATCAGTGCTTGCAACTTGAATTTACATTTGGTTTAATGAAACTAAAGGTTAGAATCACTTACTATAGTTGATGGAAGTACTAAGGCTTTAGAAAATCTGGTGACAAGTCTAATTTCCAGATTCTGTGATTGAAATGCCCCAAGCATAATCATAAGAAAAAATTGGGTTATAGCTACTTCCAAGTCTCTTGAAGTACTTCAGGAGAGAAGGAATCGAAGATAGTACAATTTGTCTTTGACTTTCAGTACCATATAAAGTTTAAAACATATGAGACTTCACAAATTCAAGAGCACTTTAGCTTGCTTCATCTCCCAAGTTTTTAAGGGTAAACGCTTGACTGAGAGAGTTTCTTACCCAGTTATCCTTCAAAAGTTCAAGGTATGCCATCCACTCACAACTCTAAATGTAAGGTTCTATAGACTATATTAGTTATTTGTATACTTATTTTTTATTTTTACAATGATGACAAGCTAAGTCTTATCATCAGTAAATTTGGAGTAGCTACGTAAATTCTTCAGCACCACATTTAGCTCCGTTCATTGATAGATCTGCTGAAACATCTAAAACAACTACACCCTTAGGCAACTACAGCATGCTAAGTTAGTTTTTCTCTACCTCTTATGGACGGGAGCTCTTTAGGCCAATGCAAAACATGACCCAACCACCTAAGTTACCCTTATAATTTATCCTCGATCAGCGTTACTTCTACTTACTGGCGTCTATTCTCAATCCTTACCTTATCAACTATAGCTAGACTGCACATCCATATTAACATCCTCCTTTCTCCTACATTCAACTTATGGACATCCTTGTTCATTTATTCGTATTTTTATTGATGAAATCACTATTACCCCTTTCTTTGTAGTAATGACGATCATGGAATATTGCATTTAGGCACTCAACCAATTTAGTAATAAAGAATTTCATATCCAGGTCAAAACATGGGAAAGCTTCTTACTTGAATGAGGACTTCAATTTTTACAGTGCTGTGCAATTTTTTTCCAATAGCATCCAGGAGAAGACCAGCCTCATCAAAAACATACTTCACAGAGTCTGAAGGACCATCAACAAGATTACGAACAAGAGCCAAAGCTTGCTCTTGAACAGAAGTCTCAGGATCTGCCTTGACCAATACAGTTGCAGATTGTGAATAGAGTGTCATATAAAAAAGCTACATTTCTAATATAAAATATGCAACAATCACCACAGATGAGGCTTGTTAACGTTGGTATTGTTAGTTCCAAGAGAATTTCTTCTTTGCATCTGTTGTTTACAAGGAACGCCAGATTCCTTAAGGCCCATATGGCATTCACCCTAATAGCTGAAACCATTGATTTTGACAGCTGAACCAACTGTTTTAGGCCTCCCTGCATGAATATTGATTCACGTGCTGTAAAATCAATTACCATGTTGCAGATAGCACCCAGAGCAGCAATCTGAAAAATTAAGGATTCAAGGCATTTATGAGTAACCTAATAATTAAATTGAGAACCATAAAGGAGACTCATTCTTATAAACAAAATGTAGGAATTTGTCAGAGAATAGCAGAGAAAATTAAAGTTGACGACAAACGGTACAAGTATTGGAATTAACTAAAAGACATCTCATTAAATATGTTTTGTACATCAACTCGAAAAGCAATCAACTCGAAAAGCAATTAAGACCCCTTTCAGCACCTCCTGCAGTGTTATACTGTATTATGCTATATAGCAGTAAAATATACTTCTTGGCAACGTTAAATTGATAATCTTCATAATCATTCTTTGAAACAACATTCAGTACTCACCAAACACCCAAATATCCAACTCTTTACTCAAAGCTACTTTAGCCTTAATGCATAACAAAGCATGTAGAGCCAAATAAACTTCTATGCCAGTTTGGCAGGGCTTCTACATTTGTTTATGCTTCTTATAGAAGAACTTTTTGAGAAAACTAGCTCTTTTGGAAGATTTTTTAGTGTGAGCCACATTAGGCTAGCATTTTTTATAAAATTAACCAATCGGGTCCAAAAGAAGCTTTTGGGTCTCAAAAGCACACAAATGGGACCTAAGACCAGCTTCTTTGTGAGTTTATAATCAAGAGTAAAAACACAGGGAAATAATTAGGCAGATGCTTAATAATAACAGAGAAGGTGTTGAAAGCATTAAACATGTAATCTCGATCTAAAATTCAACGTGTTGGTTTTACCTGGCACAACTACTTCAGAGTAGAAAAGTATGATAACAAGCCTAAAGCAGGGTCAAACAACTATAAGCGCGGACAAACAACTTTTTCAGTTTTAAACATTTGGAAGGAGACAAACAAGCCAGCAGCCCGTCAATGGATTATAAATTGGCTACTGTGGAATAATTCATGGGAACAAGTGTAAGTAATCTAACCAAATATACCTCCTTCGTATCGTGTTGTACTAGAAATCTGAACAAGGATTCGAACTGTTACTAAAATCTAAGGTAGACATGCTATAACAGAGAAGGTGTAGAAAGCATAAAACATGCTTCGATCTAAAATTGGAAATTTTGGTTTACCCAGCATAACTACATAGGAGAGTAGAAAAGCATGATAACAAGCCTAAAGTGTGGTCACATAACTTAGTATTTAATAGGCAATAAACATGCCAGCAAAACTGCAGGCCGGAAATGAAGTATTAGTTGGCTATTATGGAATGATTTGTGAGACATGTACATAATCTAACCCAACATATCTTGGATAGCAATGTATTATAAAAAATCTATATATGGATACCAAATGTTACTAAATCTAACAACAAGCTTCCCCGTTTGCCATAACTAATAGGCCTTTCATATTCTCCCAACTCGTAATGAGTTCATATGACTTTTAAACACCTTAATCCAGACCCCAACAAATTCTCTCCATGCTCAGTGAAGACCACTCTTCCAAACTGCACTAGTAGATGCCATAACAAAATCAGTGGTTTGTCATGCACAATTTTTTGGTGTATTGTATTTAATTTTTCACCATAATTTGCTATGACTAATCCAAACAGCAACCTGAGTCCAGCTTTTCCCTGTTGTCTTGTGGTAACAAGTGAAAGAAAAGTTATTTTATTTTATTTTATTATTATTATTATTATTATTATTTTATATGCATTATCAAATAGTGATGGAACTTGAGTGTGGCAGAGAACCAAGTAAGGGGATGAACTCAGAAGGCACATGATGATCGTCTCTTTGGATCTGAATTATGAAAGACTATTTTTCCTGATGTTCAGGGATGCTAAATTTGATGTTCAAGAATAATATGAATCAAGTGGCCTTAAATTGTACATGTTACACACTTTCTCAAAAAAATTTGGAATGTTTACCTGGTAAGAAAAATAGGAAGTAGTTGATGTGGAATTCAGCGTAGCCAATTTCTTATTTAGTTTCATTATGATTTTCATTAGATACATGATTTTTATGATTAAATTTTGTAGCATATGTGACTGGAAACCGGTACATCTCTTTCATTATGTTACTCTTTTATATGCCTAAAAATGCATAAGATCCAAATCCCCATCACCACAGGCTTGCATTATGGTTCTGCTTTAAGTCGGGTTTTCACATCGACAAGCTAACGTGACATATTGAAGATGAAGTTCCTCGATGTATGTTGGTGAAATTTTAGTTGACGAGAGAAAAAATGAGTTAAATTGTAAGTTAGAACTTCGAAGGAGTACTTTGGAATATGAAAGATTTGGGTTAGGTAGAGATAATACATGTGGTGCTAGTTTAGTAGAACAGGAAAACCTCTACGTTTGGACTAAACAAATAAATTACCATGAAAAGGTTATAACCTAATCAAGGTGCGGTTACAAAAATTAGTTTTTGACTTGCGTATCCTTCGCGCAAGTGGAATAGATGTAAAGTATGCACTACATTAATAATTAAATTAATGAAGCATTTTAAAACCAAGGTATGGAGATTGATGAAAGAGATAGATGTAGCTTCCAAAAAGCTAATACATGTAAATACGTAGGTTTGAAAAAAATGCAAAGTCATTTTAACATTTAAACCCTTCTTGGCCCTCATTTTCAAAAACTCATTTATTCCTCCAACTCATTTTCAACCATACATTTCATGGGACTCACAATTTTTAAAACTTTTCAACCACACATTTCATCAACTATTATCAAAATCTACTAAAAATCTAATTTATAACTACGCTAAATAGGGGATTAATCTTAAACCTTTAATATAACATAAAATATATATATTTTTGCAATAGATTGATAACTTTTACTACGTGAAGGCAAATTCCTTAAGACAAGACCTATACAAATTATAACTTATAACAATGTGGAGTTTACTTTTATTTACAATTGGCTCAAGTTCGGACCAAAATTTCTTATGACTACATGGAGGTTATTCCTATAGAGAGTATTACTACATAGAGGTCTTATTATAATATGAATAAAGACAATAATGGAGTGAACAAAGGATCATGTTGTACCAAAAGTGTTGTTTCATATATTCAGTACACTTATAAGTTAAAATTATTTTATAACTTCAAGCCTAGGACACACATATACAATGAAAAAGTGCAAAGAAGAACGTCTTACGTCGGAGCACGTGGACAATTTAAAGTGCCAAAGGTTATTGAATTCAACGCATTCATATTTCAATTTGAACTTTCCTATATAAGGTTATTGGTGTTTTGCTCAAGCCTGGCAAGCTAAGAAGTTTTGCAATCCCGTAAAAGACAGTGTTGCGAAATTTGAAGATTTCTCAAGAGAATCTTGCACGAGCAAAAGGAAGGCAAAAAAATTGCGCATATGCTAAACTAGAATCATGTTGTTCGAGTTTGGTTCAAGTTACATGACTTCAAAAGGTATTTGGGCATATTGATGGCATGAATAAGATTTGAAAAACCTAGAAGCATACATACAACAAGCATTACACAAAAACGAGGGAAGAGTATCATATATTTATAGATCTAGAATAGTTGGCTTGGAGAATACATGGAGCACTTTTGACCCGTATTGTTGGCAAAGCTAGAAGGTTACAAAGACAAATGAGAAGTTTGAAGTTATACAATAAGATTCGACAATACATCTTCTCTTTTCTTTTAATCCGAGTGATGTCGATTTGATATTTGTATTAGTACTTGTAATTTAGATATTAGCTATATTTGTTAGTTAGGGCATTAATGTAACCTAATTTAGACAATTTGATTTCTATTATCATGTTTTGACGTTAATTGTTGATTTTTATCCTTTTGAATGCCTTATCAACGCTTGAATGGTTTGTTAATTGTATTAACAACGAGAGGTAGCACATGCATTTTTAGCTCTTAATCATGGAAACTATAAATTTGGATAGAAATAGAGATATGATTAAGTAACTTACAGTCTTTTCAAAAATTGCCTTTATATTTAATGGGTTTCTGTATATCATTGTTCAAGTAGAGATATAGTGAATTCGTATATAGAAAGTGATCTTGGCTCTACATGAACATCATTGTTGAATAAGTTAAGGAGATTCGAATATCCACACGAACGCGTGATGTCGGAACTAGGTAAAAGGAATTGAATCGAATTAAGTACGATGAAATCGTGCACCCTAACACCTCAACTTCCTAGAGGTCCCAGAGTCAACCTAGTTAGTGAATATTCTTGCTTTTAGTTAGGTTTTATTTTGAAATTTTTAAAAATCAATTCTTCATATAAAAGTTAAATTCAATACTAATAACAATCCTCATTAGACGATAGTCGGACTATCACGTTATTACTTATTCAATTCGTACACTTGCATATTCGCATCACAACAATTATTAACAAAGAAGGAGTTGATGATCATGTCATAAGAGTAGAGAAGATTGTATGAAATTGAAAAATGCTATAGAGATTCTATGCAATAAGTTGATTCCTTTACACTACATTGAGTAGACTAACTATGTTTTATAGGCTTAAGAGTAAGCTTATTAAAAGTCAATATGTTCTTAAGATAAATGTAGTAAAAATGAGCATGCTAAGATCAATGGCAGTTATGTTAGGATGAATAAGATAAGACAAGGCATGAGAATGTAGCTAGTAAGTGGAGGTTGCGGTGATAAGAGTACAAATTAAGAAAATGAAGATTATTCATGTCTTGCATCGACCTAAAGAGGCCTCAATTCATATGAGTGACATATTTCCAATACTATATCAAAGAAACCAATTAGGTTTTATTAAAATACAATGGGTTCCAGTGATAATATATTGTTAATAATCAATGAAAAAGGTAAGTTTTATTGAAATAAATACATTTCAATGAAGTCAATTAATAAAATATGAGAACTTTAAAGCGAAAGTGGTTCCCAAGATAATTTAAGAAAGGTGCATACCTTTCTCTTTTTGAGGCTTACGCCTCAATCACTAAAGACATAAGCCTCATTCTGGACCAAAAAATTCCCACCGTCGCACATTTTTAGTAAACCGTGAGTTTACTCTTAATAGTTAGCTATCGCATTAGTAGATTTTGCATATAGAGCTCTATATTATTGACATATCAAAGATATTTTTAAGGAGCAAAATTAGCATTTTTCTTAAGTATTTTATAAGCAAGCAAGGAAAAACATCCAAGTTTGAATGTAGGTTACCAAATTTTTACCTCCATTATCAATCAACACAAAATAATTCGAGTGTCAAAAATATCATAGCGTGCCAGTAGATACTTACCATCACTTCTCGCTCAAAAAACATTTAGGAACCCATAATATAAACTCGCTTGGTTGAATCTCAATTATAATTGGGCATTCAGTATAGTTGTCATTATCAAAAGTTTTTTAAGGCTTGCACCTTAAGACAGCCTCATGAAAGACTTAATTATATACTTGTGCTCGAATGCCATTTGTCAAGGCCTACGCCTCAACTTATTGAGACTTGTGCTCAAGCCCAAGCCTTAAGGGGATAGCAGAAGAGAGCACTCATTTGTAATGCCTTGTTTGAATTTTATCATTGGCCTAAGGTTATTTTGGGCTATTTCATAGCATCCAAAAATGCTTATAAGTTCTCTTATTTTCCGTTTTATTTCTTTACATGGAGATGGAGAAGGAGAAACCAACATTTCAACTCAAGGATGACAATGAAGAAGAAACTAACAATGATGAGGAGAACGGGTGAATCAAATATATCAATGATTCTTCGCATATTAGTATTGAAGATATCAAACAATTTTCGAGGTTAAATCACTTCTAGTAGTAGATAACAATTTTGTTACGTAATTACTAATTAGGGAAATGATTATTTGCTACTTTGTTGATATTGCCAACTCCTAACGTCCTAAGAGAATGAAATTAGGCCAGGAAAGCGAAAGAAAGCCTTTACCTCTTCCTTTGCACAAGCCCAATTAGCCAAATTGACCCCTAAAGTTATCGATTAGGAATAGGAGCGATATATTATAGCTTTGAACCAGTCTCTCTGTCTCCCAATGTAGGCTAAGTGGACAGCTTTTTAACTTAAGCTGGAGCAAAGACTTGATCAACCGAAAGCACCTTTTTGCGAGATATGTTATCAAGCTTAGGTGCCTTACGTAGCAAACTAGGTATATTTGTAATTTAAGACTTTTAACTTCTGTTATTTTGTTTCACTATGGATTTTCAATGTTGTTTGTGGTTTATTATGAACATGTATTTGTAGTTATATGTTTTTATGGATTAATTGGTTTGTCTTGAGACTTGCACCTCAAAATGCCTTAAGTCTTATGCCTCACCTCATTAAGACCTTGATTGGGACTTTTTGACATTTAGTAATGAGCATCTTTTGCATTATGGAACATTACCTAATAGATTTTTTTAATTTTTATTTAACATTCTTTTACATATTTTTAGAATCATTAGAATTATTTTAATCTTATATACATTTTCTTAAAGTGCATTATAGCGTACAAGAGGTATTTCCCTATATAATCCATCCAAGCATATACTTCTATAGCAAAACATACTATGAAATATACCGTGCATTCTTCATTGAGATCTCTCCAGCACGGTGCCAATATCAGCATTTAGAGATAAACTAAAATGCGAGGTGGTTTCTCATGGTATCTGAGCAGCTGAAATTAGACTTTTCCATTTCAGGGTTTAATTTATGTATGGAGCAATGTAGGAAACAATGGGTTTTATAGTCTTCAATGTAGGTAAAAGGGTTGTGTTTGTCGACAGAGATAAGTAGGAGAATAGTAAAATTCTGGATGTTATGGGCTTGTTTTGAACAATGACATGAACATGACCTTCAGAAAATTGGAGCTATCCCATAATTACGATATATATAGAGCATCAGGTGTGCATGGCAAAGACCAAATTAATAATGACTCTTCCACTTCAAAGAAGAAACAGTTAAGATAGATATCTACATGTAACGCCTTGCGCACTTGTATGATACATTAACCTTGAACTTTGCCAAATAGTCCACTACTTCACCATATAATTTTGCTTCTCAGACAACCCCAAAAAACTGACATCTTCAAGAAGTTCACCATCACAACTGTAACGACAACTAGCGCATGAGGCTCCATTCAAGCTGCGCTACCGTCAATAATTTATCCCACTTACCCTACAACTTAAAGCTTTCATCTAATCAGAACATGGAAGGCCAGCTGGACTGAGTAAATGTCAGCAAAAAAAGCAGAAAAATATAGAAAGCTACCTATCTCTGTAAAGAAAAATATAAATATAGTTCTCAGGGATGTCAATCCGGGGGGAAAAAATAAAAAAAGAATTACCTGGACAGAAGGACAGGAGTCACATAAAAGCTGAACCATGGGACTCGTGATATTTGCATTTGTAAAATGACCTGCACTCATATTCTGAACAATATTTTTCATTAGCGCAAAGGGAACAGGTTGGAAAAAGACTCAGCTAATCAAGTGCACTAATATCATGTCAAAACCTTGACAGAGCGAGAAAGGTTCCTCAAGAAAATGCAAGCTGCAGTACGTACGTCAGCACTATCATGTTTTAGTGCATCTTTTATATAAATCAATGCCTGCATCCAGAAGCAGGTGACAAAAAATTTAACCAAATGGAAAACATATACATAGCTTCAATAAGCAAAAGGCTTTTGACTTATTACCGCTGAAAATTAATTGAATTAAAATATTTAATATGTTAGCTAGTCAGGGAAATTACAAAGCATCTTGATAAGATAATACTTTTCCCCAAATAGCTTCTGTTTGCACAGAATACACTTTTCTAATAATCAAAGCTCGCTATCACCTCCTCTTTTGGACATGTTCCCCTCAATGAATAATCAGGAGTAAGTACAAGCTAACTAATAGGACAAAAAAATATGGCACAAGATTAAATATTTGAATAAAGGAAAGATTTATAAGATTTTGCAGCATGTCCGTAATAATTTACTAACTGAGAATCCTAAAAAGGACAAGAAATGACAGAAACATTTAGAAGAAGTTTGTGAAGAAATCAATGAAAGAAGAGAAAGGCCCAACGTAGTCCTTCAAATCAGAGAATATTGAGATATTACCTTTTATGATTCAATAGCATTAATGAGGTCAATTTTAGTTCAAGGCCATGTACACTTTAATCCTGCTAACATTATTGAACTCATTATGCTTTGGGCTTTGCAATTTATCTTTTGCATGTTTATGAGCCGGCATGCAAATAACAATCCTACTGAAAAACTCTAAAATGTTGAAAGAAAATTAATCACTATAATATCAGACAGGTTTTAACAAAACTACAGGGCTGAATCTGCTACAAATCTCTTTCCAAGTGAAGATCACTGAAAGTTTCCTAATGATACCATAGCAGAATTCTAACATCTGGTTATATATTTATGTGTTTCAACATATTAAATATACTACAGGATCATTTTCATTCACCATACAACCCCTAAAACACAAGGAGTACTACAATTTAGAACATCATGATTTACTAAAAATATGAAAAATTCTCCACTATTCATATCTACAAATTTCAAGCCTAAAAAAGGATAAGGACTAAGCAAAAATTACTCTGTTTTTGCAACCATGCTTTAAGTTCTATCATATATATTTTGATCACCAACTCATACTTGATTCTTCCAACAATTGGTCTAGCAAATTGAAAAAGAGAATTATACAAGAAATATTAGACAAAACTTTAGTATAACAAGAAATAGCTATATGGCCCGGATAATGTTTCAGATTAAACGACTAACCTCTAAAGAAAAGGCCCTATCCCTGCAGCATTCCAACTCTGAGCACATATCAGCCAATGCTAAAAATATTCCTTGCAGTCGCTTGGCTTGAAATGGTCCTGCTTCTAAATAGTTGCATAATTTTTCGATAACCTGACATTCAAATGCTATCATCTGCAGATCCTCCTTCTCTGCAATTAAACTAGATAGCACAAAGGGAGCATCATCTCCAACTTGATCAGGATCTTCAAGAAGCTCAAGTAATGTTTGCACCAATCCAGTTTTAATTCGTGAATCTTGAAGATATGTTGTACAAGAATTTCTGATGACAATCAAACAAGCGCAGGCTAGCAATCTTGTCCGAGGATGCTTATCCTTGATCAGTTCAGTCAAAAAATTCACTGCTCCTCCATTTTGATATCCCAGAAATTTTGTAATAATTTCTGGGTTTTTCTTCATGACAACAGACAGAGATTCTAAACTAGCCTCTCTCTGACTCAGAGAACCATCAAGAAGACTTGCAAGCTTCGTGATAACACCAGCACCACTCAATGCCTGCTGCTCCATCCTAGTCTGGCATGAACGCGTGATAATATTTGCACCTAGACAACTAACATTCTCATTCTTGCTGTTGAGCAGTGAAAGAAGGAATTCCATGTTTTTTTCTTCCAGAAAATAGAACTTCGGAGCCAATTTTGATTGATAAATCCATTTTAGAGAACGAGCAACAGCATCCACAACCTGCAGAAAGAAGGTCCCAAGTAAGTTTGTCATACACCAGAAAAAACATGCATATGTACCCAAATAAGATTATATCAGAATTTTTTCCTGCTATTAGCAATGATAACCTTCATTAAGATACATAATCTAAAGACTATAATACCACGAAAAATGTAAGAGCAGAATATCTAAATTTGACAGAATAGCACAAGAAGCCCAGTGGGAGCTTCCTATTGGCTGTCAAAAATCAAAATTAAGTAGATTCCATAAAATCACATTTTCCAGAACATTTAAACTCTTATATACATGCTGCAGCGCCAATATTTTAAACAGAAACAACAGTTCAAACCATTGCATATTGCAACACCAAAGTCAATATCAACAATAAATACTTATTTCCAGTTCTACAGATAGAAAACAAAATTAATTAAATTTAGCTTAACCTCAATTTTTCCAAATAAAAAAGTACTTAATTTTAAAACCAAACAGTACAAAATCACAAAACACAACATTCGCCCCTATTAGTCTATCATTCTCCAAAAACTCTTTATTTCTAAAACTCATTTTCAACCACTTATAATAAAATATTTTGGACATAAATCCAAAATTTTCACCTATAAATCCAAAATTTTTACCTGCTTTTTAACCACGCATTCTCCAAAAAAAACACTATTTCAAAAATCATCCCCCCCCCCCCCAAACAAAAAAT